AAGCAGTTGCGCTGCTCACGAAACCGTGCGTGTCTAATGGCTTCTTATAAATGATTTCCCTTGAAGATAACCTGAAGCGCAATGGTCTCTGCAACTCAGTAATCGTTCTCTCCCAAAAAATGGGAGGGAACTGTTCCCCCACCAAAACTAATAACGTCATAAGCGTCCACCGAAAGCGCTTATTCCTGGTAGATTGCCTTGACTACTATGAACGTTCGTTATTACCGCAATGTACTAACCTAGACAATCCTAAAGTTCAAGAAAGGGTCTCGAGTTCAGTTCCCTTGTTTATCCTCTCATCATTGTTGAAATACATGTACTACACTGAAGATGTAATGAGAACTCATTTCCACTTGCATTCATTCATACTTGTTGAAGCAGGCAATAATAACATAGCATTCGGCATCTCCATGGCACATTAGCTCCTTTAATGAACTTTCAAGCAAAATTCATGTTAAGCATGTAAGTGCAAAGGCTGTACACAAATCTTTATTTTCAAAACCTTTTGACCTAGCTAAGCAATAAAGCTCTCTACAGATAGGTACATGGAATTTGTAAAGGACTGAATCGCTGAATAATATTGATTGGCGGTAGCAGGTGATGAGGAGTTCTTCGAATGGCGGAAAAATAGTAGCGACGGGAGAGACTGAGCTGAATTTTAGAGTAGACCTTCATAGGAAATCCTGCAATTTGAGTTGACTCACCATGAGAGCGGTATCGAGTACTTTCCGAGGTGGCGGAATCAACAGTAGCGGCAAAAGGGACTCCAGACTGAAAAATCAGAGTGAACTTGAGTAATAAGCCTCACAAAGAGCAGATGTGCTCACCATAGGGATGGCATGAAATATTTTTTGAGTTGACGGTAGCAGGTGATGAGGAGATTTTCGAATGGCGGAACAATAGTAGCGACGGTAGAGACTGAGCTGAATTTTAGAGTAGACCTTCATAGGAAATCCTGCAATTTGAGTTGACCCACCATGAGAGCGGTATCGAGTACTTTCCGAGGTGGTGGAACCAACAGTAGCGGCAAAAGGGACTCCAGACTGAAAAATCAGAGTGAACTTGAGTAATAAGCATTACAAAGAGCGAATGTGCTCACCGTAGAGGTTGTGTGAAATATTTTTGGACGGTAGTGGCGGAAGAAATCTTGAATTGGAAGCATACAGCATTCTATATAGTTGGTTCAACGGAATTGAAGTTACTCACTAGGAGATGGCATGAAGGATTTTTGGTCGGCGGAACTGTAATGGCTGATGTACTATGAAATGGATGTTTTGGGCAGGTTATGATAGTGAGCTTCACGGAGCCAAAATACCCACCATAGAGATTGTATCTAATATCTTTTGTGGTTAATATCTTGTTCACTTCGATAAAACTGAAAATGGCGGAATGAGTGAAGCGAAAGTAGAATTTTTAGACTAAAAGCTCCAAGCAACCGAATAGTTAAAATTCGTAGCGATGAACTTGCTTACCGCGAACGCTAATAGCTTTGTAGAAGGGAGTTTGCATAAAGGAGAGAGAAGCTGTGCAAAGGATCGTTTTCTGCAGTTGACAACAGTGTCCTTTTTCATTTCGAAGGCAACTATAACGTTGTTTTTAGTTTTGTCTGCTAGGTTGAAAAGGAAAGTTATGAATGCACACGAACCTGAATAAGATACTTTTGTCGTCGTTGTTTCATTGTCGTCCGATGTAATAAGGCAAAATTTCGCAGATATCGATGATTAGGTAGAATACAATGATTTGGTATGGCAGAGTTTTCAGGTGTTTTGTAGTACTTCGAATAGAATACCTTTTCTACAAAATATTTTTATAGACAATATTCTTGATTTTAGCTTTCGATGAAAGAACTTTCACCGATTCAGCATTCCGAGCTCTTGATAATGCAACATATAGTTGCCCATGAGAGAATACATCGTCGGGGAGATATATTCCAACTTTTGCCAGAGTCTGGCCTTGAGCCTTATTGATAGTGGTAGCAAAGGCCAAGCGAACTGGAAATTGT